TTGGGTTAGGGTTAGGGCTTGGGTTTGGGTTAGGGTTAGGGCTTGGGTTAGGGTTAGGGTTAGGCCTCTTCTTTATTGTGTTTGATGGGGTGGTCGCTCATTACCGAAGTCCTTCCTTTGCCAGTGCATATGATTCAAAGCTCGACTTGTCGTTGCAGCAAAGTAGATGCTACTCCAATTCCAGTCAATAGCCAATCATTCGAAGCTACTCTGAGGAGAGTTAAAATAAATTTTGGCTAACAGAGAGATCTAACTTTCCTGTGGCATCTTTGGACAGACAACATAGATCTAGATTTATAAATCATAGATCTAGATATTGATTGAAATAAACGTAAGATTAAAATTCTAAATCTAAATTACAGTCTAGGTCTAGATCTACACTTGATCTTGAAAGTGCAGAGCGTTGGACGAACTCGGAACTCCAACTTGAACAACTTACCAGAAGTCACGAACTTCACGATTCCAGTTCACTCCCTGTTCAGTGTGACAGAGAAATTACTTTGTCGTTCAGCATGCTTTATTGTATCCAAGATATTGATCTATCTAGATCCAGACCTAGTCTAGTATAATGTCTTCATTTACAGGAAAAGAAAACTACTTGGTCAACTAAGTCTTTAGTACTGAGACGCTTTACTCCAGAATTTCTTCAAGGAGAAAGAACTTAGTCGTGAGTGAGCTTCGCTTTCTTTCTTGGTGATTCCTGTTTTCCGTCCAGCATCGAATGCAACAAGAGTAACCGTTCTTGAATCTTCGGCTTCCAAGAGGGACAGAGCAAGCTTGATCTAGCCTTCATAGATATCAAACTAGAACTTGTTTGTGTGTTTCATAGTTATCATGAGCTCAAGATTTTACAGATGAAGAACTTTTTAAGTAAGAATCACACAGGAAAAATGTTCCTGACAACGTCATAATTCTCAGTCCTTTTTCTGCAGAGTCTGCTGAAAGTAACAGTTGTTACTACGGTAAACGTTCCCATAGCAACCAAAAGGCTCATCGCCGTGAAGAAAACGAAGTTCTTTCCAATACTCGAATCAACCAGAATACTCTACGCAAAGCTCTATCGAGCAGGCATATACACTAGTCTGAAGTGGTATCCTCGAAATTACTGCGTATGTTGATAATAAGCAACGAGCGGGTTGTAGCCAACAACGCGATATCTCGAGTCCTTCGAGTCCTTCGCAAACACCACAAAACTGGCTGTCTGTGCTCAACCTACAAACTACAAAGCTTAAGCACACCTATCTGACTTTAGGTTATAACCCCCCTCTCTCTCTCTCTCTCTCTC